CTCCCGTGGACGTAGATCCAGTTGGATCGAACCACGTAAACGATCTGTGTTTGCTTGTGTTCTTTCTCGTCTCATTTCTATGCCAGGATCACAACAGTTAGAATGAGAGTTTGTACTTGTAACACATATCTATAGAGTTGACATTGACATCTCCTGTAGTCGAGGTAATGAAGGCCAACTCTCAGAGAGTCAGAGGGTTGGGATGTCCACCTACAGCAGCCATGCCATTTTTGAAATCGTAGGGGTTTGCTCTTGAAAATATGGATTATTATTTTTTATGATGTTTTCTAATCATTATTTACAGAAGTTTTCTAACCATTTTATAAATCCAGAAATACTAACACAAAAATAAAAAACATTCTTTCCAGTCTTTATGTTCAGAAAAGCACACAGAATGCAAGTTGAATCTTGCCACCACGATCACAATGAAGAAGAAGATGAGCCTCGCAACTCTATATCTCAAAACTGTATCTCTATGCTTCATACATGGCTTCCGCTGTTATGCCGTGCCAGCAATGGCATCGATGCACCCATCCTTAACAGCAGTGAGCGAACGGAGATGGTGCGAGTGCTGGACGACATGATAGAGAAGCTGAACTGGGAGCAGCAGGAAGAGATTCTTGCCCTCTGGCTACACCATTTCACTTCATGCCCAGATTCCGATTGGCCGAACCTCGAGTCCGCCTACACTCGATGGTATGCCATGTCTCGAAAGCTCTTACTGCAATGATCTTTTTCAAGCATCTGTTACTGTTCTGATTTATTTTTGGGTGATAGGAGTTACTGCAGGATTATAGATATTTTTAGTTTATGAAGGAACAAGAAATGCTGTCAATATTTTTTACTGTATAAAGTAGTATATGCCTATATGTACAATGGAATTAGTAGTTTGCTACCGTTGGATCTTATTTTGTTATACAAAATCTTTGTAGTTCTAGAATTAGTTTTTTTCATGTCTTCTGAGATTCATTTTTTATGTTAAAATGGATCTTATTTTATTGTAGTGAGTGTCATACTCAAATGCTGAAGCATCAGATAGGAGAGAGAGAATGATCAAAAGAAATCATGATCTAAGTGATTTGATTTTAACTAAATCTAAGTTTACTAAGTGGGTAGAGACTGTCATCTCTCAGAAATACAAAGCGGCAAATATGCATATGATGGAGGAAATCTTCCCAATCCATCTCGAATCTCAAATGCACTGATACTAAGAATAAAAAAGAAAGCTTCACTTTAGATTTTTTCTTAAAAAGACCCCTCGTTCTCTTATGCACACAAAAAATTACCAAATTTCTTCATTAAGAGGGTACTTTGATGAGGAAATTAAGTAAGATTTTTTTATGCTTTGAAAGAGACCTAGATCACATGCATCTTGAGGGTGAAGGGTAAACAATATTAAAGTCAGCATCTTTTTGGGAATAAGATGTGGATCCCAAGATATGTGGGGATTCTTAAGATTCCATGCATGTATCCTAAAGTGTGATTTCTACTATTATAGATTATGTATGATTCTTAAATATACTTCATATAAATTGAGGTGAGGCCTATTGTCAGATGGTTTGTTCCATTTCTATCAATCTTTAAATAGGAAAATTTCTCTTATCAAAGATCTAAATATCCTATGTAACACAACCTAAATCTAGTGTAAAGTGTGATGTACATAATATGTTGTTAAATATAATAATTATCTTAGTTATCTTAATAATGTAACAAAATTTGGATGTACAACTTCACTCCATCAAGCTAGATTTTTTATGCTTCTAAAATTATGAACAATTCAACACCACACAATCTTCAAGCCAACATCTAAACTAAAAGTTCATGGGATGCACCTAAAGCCCAAATATTATATGCCAAAATAAATCTATTAGAATATAAAGGGTATTTATTTAATTTTTGTACTCTTAAAGTGGTCATCTCCTCACCTTCAATGTTATAATGTACCACTCATCTCTGGAACACACTATACACATTAGTCTAATATAGTTGATCATTTGAAGTCTTCACATAATCTTATGTATGACTCTTGTCCACGTCCTTTACTACAACTAGAAAGCTCATCATATTATGCTTTCTCGAAATTTGATTCTCCAAGACAAGTGAAGATGCTACTAAAGTTATCTCTTGAAGTTACGCTCCGTAATAGATGAAGTTCTCTACCTCCATTGCTTTCATGGTAACAAATGAACTCTCACAAGTCATAAGAACCTCAACTTCACCATAATATATGCACTATATATCAATTAGAGCAGTCAATAATAAAGATAAGGGATTCATTCTTTTATCTATATATCTATTTATAGCTTAAGCTCTAATCTGATTTCTATATTTATATGCATACTAACATTTCTTATACATGCATAACTATTGTATAATTTATAATTAAAAATAACTTACCAAGTCACATATGAAATAAAAATTGAATCAGGAAGTTGTTGATCCTAGCACCTACTAACTTTGTTTATCAATACCCTCAAGTTTAAATATTAAATTTTTCTTATAGCAATGAATAATCATATTTATAAGCTTATAGTATATTTTTTTTTTGTATAAAATAGCTTCACAAAAATACCTATATTGTTAGATGATGATGATGATATGATTCTCATTTTCTATAATCACATGAATATCTGACAAATTGTAAATATTAGGACTAAACAAATTCTTATGTAGATTGATTTTTATACCTTCACATAAACAAAATAAACCATAAAGTTTATTGGATTAGCTTTTGCTTAAAAACAATAACTCTAATTTAGCTCAGAACGTCTCCAATTTTCTTTTTTTATTTTTTGACCGTTATTAATACCTCAATCTGACCTTTAGTTATACCTTTATTTTATGATCTTCATTACCACACACAAATCAAGGTGATGCCTTTCTGTGATATGATCCATCCAATCTTCATCACTTCATAAATAAGTATCTTTTGTGAATCAAAGATCCAATGAATTTTAATTAACTTTGATCCAATGCTACTGTGTGTAAATTGTTAAGTCAAAATAAATAAATAAATACATTCAAACATATATATAGATATATATATCTATATATATTGCTAAAGGAAAATATAAAAGGGAGAAACTAAAATTTGAATGGTTTATTCAAATAATTATTTTGAAAAGGTGGTTTTTTGAGAAATTGTCTTCATAAGCCCATAATTATTAAAATTAGAGAAGTATGCTCACTGTTTCATTTTTTTAGAAGCATATGTGACAAAATTTAATTTGGACAAAATATTCACAATATTTTTTATCTCTTCTATAAAAGCATGACATTGTACCCTTTATATATTTCAATTTTTATCATTGTGATTTTGTCATTCAAGGGGATAGGTTGATGGCAATGGAAAAGTTCATAATTTTCTTATTTATTAGTGAATTTAACATATATGAGTATTATTTTCTTAGTATTTTTATTGTGCTTCATAGAATAAGTCATTTTGATGGAGCTCTTATGTAGATCTAGATGGATTATCAAATATTGGGTTCTCAACCTTCTTAAACCTTATGTTTAATTCATATTTATATTTATTCAAACCACAATTATGTTTGCTCAAACATGTTTAAATACATATTTAGACTTTATTTGAATTCTATGTTTGGTCATGTTTAAATATGTTTGAACTTTTCAATCTATATTCTAACCTTATTTAAAGAATAATCAATCATTGTTCAAATCTTATCATATATTTCAATCATTTGAACATGTTTGATCCATGTTTGAACAACATGGTTAAAAACATCATTTTGAGTATTGAATAAGATTAGAGCATGGTTCAATCTTAGTTTGAATGTGGTTTAAACACATTTTTAGTAACTATGATTGTATACATTATCTAAATATTTTATGAAGATAAAGCTAGTATTAATATTATTGTGCTGTATAGAGGAGAAAAAAAGAAAAAAATGAATAGGCAGTAATATGTTTATCTAATAATGAAATTAGGAGTGACTGTACAAATAGTTATTTTTCTTAAAAATCTCATAAATTTTATATATGAAATGACATAGATTAATAAGAGTCTATTTAGTCTAAAATGGGAGATAATGTATCACTTTTGTGGAGCATAAATAATAAATTAAATTCCTTAAATTAAGCTACAGATAGATTATAAACTTATGCTTTTCATGAATTATATCTTCACATTTATTTAGTATTGAACACTTATTTATGTTATAATTGCTCAAAGGAATATTTAAAAAATAATTTTTGTCCCAATGAGAATGGACAAAGCTCAATCAACTCATCTTATTTTGTTAATATGGTTGTTGATGTAAATGGATCACATGCAAAAGTTGATAATGCTTTGACTATGCTACATGTAGAAGCAAATGATGTTGTGGGCATAAAAGCCATACATGATAGTTAATATATGAATACTATACTATTAAAGCACCCATTAAATAGTACAACCCTATTTTATGGTCTATCTAAAGCTAATAAATCAGTTAACTTTTTTTTTTCTTTATATATATTAGGGCTAAGGCGAAAACATGAGATATGAAAAATGCATGAGCAACTTCTACAATTTAGTGCCCAAAAATAACTAAAGTACTATGGTTACTAATACAAGACCTTATATTGAAGTTCATTAACTGTTAATTCAATGATTGGGTAATTTTTTGGTGCAAAGAAGTGTTAAAGTAAATTTTATATTAAAAAACAAAGTGAAAACATTAATAATAAATGTATAATATGTATTTTTCTCAACTTAGAAATGTTTATGAAACTTATGAACAATGAAGTTGGCAAGGTTAAATATATTTGAGATTACAAGGTATAAATTAATAAACATGTGGCTTTTGAAAATTAGAATGAAAGACCTTCAAAGAAATTAATCATAAATCATCTGTCACATGATTAAAGAAAATTTTATGGCATCTAACCCTAAGTTAAAGTTAAAGTAAAAAATGATCATATATCATCAAAAGATAGACCACAACATTGACTTATAATGTGAGAAAGTTTCACAATGTTATGAGTTATCTATCATTTTTATGAGAGGTTCTTCTAAAGTATCATTTTAGAAGGCTCCATCCTAATTGTTAATTTTCCATAAGAAAAATTCTAGAACAATAGTTAATATGTAGATTTCTAGTACACAAGATTTTAAATATGTACACTTTTCTTTGTGTTCAAGGCATCAAGAATGCATGCCTCCTAGTGCTAAGTGTGGGTGACATACATGTAATATATGCAGTGGAGGTGATGCAAATGCCAACACTTAGATTTATCGCATGACACTTGTCTAGTGGAATTAAAAATATTTGGGTCGTGTTTATTTTTTATAGCCAAAAAAAGTAACTTATAAATAGTGACAATTTTATCAATTATTTTTATACATATTATAGTGTCAATAATGCTTTACTAGTCATTTTATTAAACACATATCATAATGTGGTAATGAATACATAAGAAAATTTCATATTAATAATTGCCATAAAAAATATCATTTGACCTTCAAAGTTTTTTTAGTTTTTTATGCACTTTGATAAAATATATGCCATGAGCTTAGTAATAAATGCTTATCTAGATAATGAGCTTAGTTTTGAGTGGCCGATTTATTATATTTTTTCCCTGAAATTTTGATATAACTTGATGATAATCAATGCTTTAGCATTAATATTACCAAGAGTACATGTTTATATTTTGTGACTACTTAATGGCGTTTTTAAAGAACATTGTTTAAAATTAATTATTTGATAGAAACACTACTATAGTAAATCTAAAGAAATATTTTGATAAAGGAAATTAAAAAAACTCTTAAGAATTTCTTGAATATGGCTTAATACTTGATTGTCAACCCATCAACCCCTTGAATTGCATATCCTCAATGGTGATTTTAATTATGATGTTAATTTATGTTGACTTCATTTTTGGTCAGATAGGGCTTGCATTGACATCACCCCTTGGTCCGACACAACAAGATTGGTCAA